CTCTCTCTCTCTCTCTCTATATATATATATATATATATATATATATATATATTGTTAGGAAAAAAATAAAAAATAAACATTTTACCTTTTAATATTTCCGACGGATTTACGACGGAATTTAATTTTTATAAATAAAAATTAAATTCCGTCGGAAATTTTAAACCTTTATATATATTTTTTGTTAGGAAAAAATAAAAAACCAATTTTTCTTTGAAAGTTCCGACGGAATTTATTTTTTTTTAAATAAAAATTAAATTATGTAGAAAATCCGTCGGAAATTTCAAAGAAAAATTGGTTTAATTTTAAATTTTTCCAAGTTTAAGTTATTATAAACTTTTTTATTAAATATTACCAACGGAGTAGTCGTATGTTCAGTTACATTTAATGGATCTATTGGCTTTATTCGATTCAATCGGACTTTTATATATATTATTGGGTTTTGTTGGAATTTACTGGATCTTAGTGGATTTTTTTCCGGTTCAAATAGGTTTTAATGGAGCTATTAGGTCTTATTCGGTTCAATTTGGTATTAACGGGTACTAATTGGGCCTTTATTTGGTTCAAATGGGTTTTAATGAATCCATTGGGCTTTAATAGATCTATTGAGTCTGTTTTCGTTCAATTGGGCTTTAACGGGTACTATTAAGCTTTATTCAGTTCAATTAAGCTTTAATGGATCTTAGTGGACTTTAACAAGTACTATTTTGTTCAACTACGCTTTAATGGAGCTAATAGGTCTTATTTGGTTCAATTGGGCATTAACGGATATTATTGGGCTTTAACGAGTATTATTGGGTTTTAGTCGGTTCAACTGGGTTTTAAAGGGTATTACTAGGCTTTAATGGATCTTAGTGGACTTTAATAGATCTATTAGGCTTTAATGGAGCTATTGGGTCTTATTCAGTTGAATTGGGTATTAACGGGTTCAATTAGGATTTAACGGGTACTACTGGGATTTATTCGGTTCAATTGTGCATTAACGAGTATATTGAGCTTTATTCAGTTCAATTAAGTTAATGGATCTTAGTGGACTTTAACAGGTACTATTTGGTTCAACTAGGCTTTAATGGAGCGAATAGGTCTTATTCGATTCAATTGGGCTTTAATGAATCTATTGAGCTTTATTCGGTTCAACTGGGCTTTAATGGATCTTAGTAGACTTTAACAGGTACTATTTGGTTCAACTAGACTTTAATGGAGCTAATAGGTCTTATTTGATTCAATTGGGCATTAACGGATATTATTGGGCTTTGACGGGTATTAGTGGGTTTTATTCGGTTCAACTGGGTTTTAAAGAGTATTAATAGGCTTTAATGGATCTTAGTGGACTTTAATGGATTATTGGCTTTACTGGGTACAAATGGGTTTTAAAGGGTACTGTTGGCCTGTCATGGATCTTAGTGGACCTTAATGAATATATTGTCTTTATCGGGTACTATTTGGTCTTCGATAGATCTCAGTGGATTTTAATGGATCCATTGGGTTTTATTYGGTTYAATTGAGCTTTAACGRGTACTATTTGGTYTTCGATAKATCTYAGTGGATTTTAKTGGATCCATTGGGTATTATTGAGCGTTAACGGGTACAATTGGGCTTTAACGGGTACAATTGGGCTTTAAAGGGTACTACTGGGCTTAAATGGATCTTAGTGGACTTTAATGAATATATTGGGCTTTATCAGGTACTGTATTCGGTTTAATTGAGTTTTAACGGTTATTAAAGGCTTTATTCCAATCAATTGGGTTTTAACGAATACATTTGGCTTTAATATCTATTTTAAATACAAAGATCTGTTGAAAATTTTATAAAAATATTTTGTATTTTTAAAAAAAGTTCCGACGGATTTATTTATTTATTTTAAAAATTACTTTTTCCGACGGAACATCGACGGATTTTCCGTCGGAAATTTGAATATTCTAAAAAAGAGCCCAAAACCCAAATCGTATTAGAGTTAGGTTACTGCTTCCCTACCCATCTGAAATCCCAATCCCAATTCCCGCTCGCTTCTCCCATCTGAAATCCCAATCCCGCTCCCGATTTCCCCCAAATCTGAAATCCCACTCGGTTACTGCTTCCCTACCGATTATCGAACATGAAGACGAGTTGGAACACGAAGACTAGAGTTGGAACACGAAGACGAGTTGGAACCGGCTTACTGCTTCCCTACCGATTATCGAACACGAACTCTTGACTGCTTCCATTTGCTTCTAGATCGAACACAGGTTTGGTTTACTGCTTCTTTATCTTTTGTTACTGCTTCCCTACTCCTTAGCTGTATGACAGTGAAGTAAGAGCAAAACATAGAGATTTGTTACTGCTTCCAATATTCTTTTGTTACTGTTTCTCAAGAGCAAAACATAGAGATTTGCATCTATGACAGTGAAGTAAGAACTCCTTTTCAGTTTTCCTCTTCCCCAAAGTTTTGGCATTGCACTGTGTGGAGAAATGCAAATTTGAAGATATGTGTGGAGAAATACACCAAAAATAATACAAAAATAATAGAGAATATTATGTAACAAAGGGTTAGAAACCAAAACCGATTCTTGAGAAGATTGGGATTGCAAATTAGAAGAATTGTGCTGCTGCTTTTTTTTACCAGCTTCAAACTGATGGTAAATTTCATTCTTGAAAAGTGGGTGTTTGATCGAGTTGTCTTGTAGCTTCTTCACTTGTATCTCCTGCCATATTTTAGCTTCAAGAAAACACAGAATTTAGTGGGGGTTTGATATATATATATATATATATATATATATATATATATATATATATATATATAATGTATCTCCTGCCATATGTAATTTAGTGGGGGTTAGCTTCAAGAAAACACAGAATAATACATGCAGTTGGAAACAAGCTAATGAGAGATCTAGAAGATGGCATTATGGTAATTTTACAGAAGCCCAGAGGGGTAAATTGGTAAAAAAATCCAGAAGCACTCAATTACTCTAAGCATCTGGTGGACTGCACCTGCTGTCTCATCTGCTGAATTGAGCCTGCATCCTTCTTCCACCTGAGGGTCGTACTGTTATGGACAGTTAATGACTTCCCTGCTTATGCCATGTTGTCTGGTTGGAGCACGCATGACAAACTAGCATGTCCTTATTGCATGGGTAATGCATGTGCATTCCAATTACGAACCGGAGGAAAGTCTTGTTGGTTTGCAAGTTCCTACCTATGAGACATCCTTTCAGGCGTGATAGGAACCAATTTCGTGTTAGACATGCCGAAAAAGCTGATGCACCCCCGCTATTAACGGGAGAGCAAATATGGGCAGAAGTCTGTAGACTTCCTACCGTTTATGATGGCGTCCCGCATGGATCAAGACACTATAGAAAGCCYGCAGGTTTTGGAGTAACTCACAATTGGGTAAAGCGGAGCATTTTCTRGGAGTTGCCCTATTGGCATACTTTGTTAATTCGGCACAACCTGGATGTAATGCACATTGAAAAGAATGTGTTTGATAATCTGTTTCACACGATTATGGATACACCAAAATCAAAGGACAATATAAAATCAAGGAAAGACATAGCAGAATATTGCAACCGACCGGAGTTGCATATACGTGAGGAACGAAATAAAGTATTTAAACTGAAAGCCACTTACACATTGAACAAAGAGCAAGTACCAAAGGTGTGTGGTTGGTTGAAGAAGTTGAAATTTCCAGATGGCTATGCTTCCAACATAGGGGCATTAGTAAATGTTGAAGATGGTAGTTTCTATGGCTTCAAGAGTCATGATTGTCACGTGTTCATGCAAAGATTGCGCCCTATTTACATTAGAGGGATGGTACCGAATCCAATATGGGACGCTATCACTAAGTTGTGCACATTCTTTCGTGCAATATGCTCGAAAGTGGTCCATGTTGACGACTTGCTTCAATTGCAGACGACAATAGTTGAAACTATATGCAAGTTGGAAAGAGTATTTCCACCAGGGTTCTTTGATTCCATGGAACACCTTGTGGTACATCTAGCGCGTGAAGCATTAGTWGGTGGTCCGGTTCAATATCGATGGATGTATCTCTACGAGAGACGTCTAGGGTCCTTGAAAAGGACAGTAAGAAACAGAGCAAGGGTAGAAGGGTCGATTGTTGAGGCATATTTGGTTAACGAACTATCTACCTATTGCTTGTTGTATTTTGAACCAACGGTAGAGACGCGGCTAAATCGTGAGCCTCGGAATTTTGCCCCTGAATGTTCGTCTTCCGATATGAGGTTAAGCATATTTAAGACCCCGTCTCGGAAACTATATGGTAAGGCTGGAACACACTGTCGGCTACAAGATGGGGATCTACACAAGGCTCACACATACATCTTGTTGAATTGTGAAGAAGTATCTCCTTTGATTGTAGTGTTCGATGAAGAGGTTAAACGTAACGAGCCATATATTGATGAAGCGGGGCTCGATAGACGAAGAAGTGAAGATTTTGCAGGTTGGTTTGAGACCTACGTAAGTATATACATATTGTAATTATTCATCCTTATTTATATGTCTTCAATAGAATGTCACCAATTACATGATTATTTGTCATTATAGGTTATGTCTGGGTATGACCCCATTACCAATCGTCTAAAAATTTTGGCTTCAAGACCACTCCGTTATGCTATTCAACACCCTGGGTTTTTCGTAAATGGTTACAAGTTCCATACCCTAACACACGGTACCGGTCGCACCACTCATAACAGTGGAGTATGCGTGAGAGGCTCTTGTTACTCAGAGTATGAGTTTCACTACTATGGGTTGTTGGATGAAGTCCTAGAGATAGAATATCATGGGTATGGACTCAGTCGTTGTACTGTACCGATATTCAGATGCACATGGTTTGATACAGTTAATGGCGTTCGAGTTGACCCAAAACATAATATTATGGACGTTAAATATAGATCAAGACTTCGTTCAGATGACCCATTTATTCTAGCATCACAAGCTGAACAAGTATATTATGTACCTTATCCATCAAACTCATTAAAGGATTGTTGGTCTATGGTGAAAACAAAGCCAAGAGGGGTCTATGACTTAGCGTCATGTGTAACCGAAGTACCTTCCGATGAAAATGTGGATGAGGAACAATTTTTTCAAGAAAATGATAGAATAACATCCATAGGTACAAACGAAGAAGTATATGAACCCATCTGTCTTGTCACGGAGGAAGAAGACATAGAAGTTGCCAWTGATGGTCGTGACAACTGGCATGTTGACGAGAGTAGTGACAAAGAAGAGTTTGAAGACTCCGATACTGACTCAGATGAAGAAGAACCTGACTTGTCTGATCACTCATCAGATGATTAAATAMTAGGTTGACTTTAGTGTTAATAAACTTTGTTTACATGTGTACTCGTCTATATGTTATCTTTGTGAATTTATCTTTTAAATCTTTATTGTTKTAATAACCCCTTTCTTATAGACTTGTTACAGTATGCCGCATATTTGGTGTGGAGGAGGTAGGGGAAGAGGTAGGGGCGATTCTATAGGTACTCCGTTCCCATCTACTGCTACACCTAGCCGACCTACACCTACTCCATCTACTGCTACACCTAGCCGACCTACACCTACTCCATCTACTGCTACACCTAGCCGAGCTATTACTAGCCTCCCTACACCTACTCCAGGATCTAGTAGTGCTTTTGTACAAGCAGATGAGTTTGAGTCTGCAAATGTCCATGGCATCAATGCTCCAAAACATCTTCTAGCCGAGAGAACGAGGATTGGTGTTACATCCAACGAGTAAGTGTTATATTAACTAATTGATCAAATTAATTATTTTTGGGTATCGATACTAATTCAACTCATTACACAGGTTTAACAACATCCATGCGACCCGTCATTTGACTCAGATTATTCGATCAATGATTGAGGGGCCATGGTGCACGTGGTCGGAAATCCATAAGGAGGTGAAGACATGGATGTGGGAGCGTTTCCAGGTTTGTAGTATTCTTTTAACTTGTTATATTTGTGCTAGTTTTATTTTGAAGTCAACAAGCAACTAATCTTTTATGTATAGGGATACTATTGTTGGGATTCATCACTGGACGCCAAGATGCTGCAGATATGGGAGACTCGTGGTGCCAAAAACTACAATGATGTCATGAATTCTGCTAGGAGAAGGGCAGGAGAAATAGCTAGAAGTCAATTGATGCCCTATGTAGAAAACGACCCTCATAGGGATATCAATATGTTAAAGGGCTTCCACCCTAAGTGGCTCGATCCTCGTATCTGGTGCGAGATGATTGATCACTGGAACACTCTTCATTAGAAGGGTGTAGTTTCCAAGGAGGCGCGTGATAACCGAATGACTATGGTGGAAGGTGATATAGCCAAACACACCGGCGGATCGATCACATTCGCCATGCATGGTGCTCGCCTGGTAGGTCCTTAATATCAATTACTTTAGTAGCTTGATTTTTAATATAGCACAATTAACACATGTTTTTATTACTTGCTACTATGTAGACGAAAGCAAAAAATGGCGTGCCACCGTCTGCTGTGGAACTCTTCGATCACACGCATAAGAAGAGGTTGAGTACAGAGTCATCTTCGGGTTGCGGGTCACGAGGGGAGTACATGACTTCGAGGTGTAGTCGGGTTGCAGTAAGTTTACAATACCTATATATAACTTCAAACTCTATATTGGGTTGTCGTATGTTGGAGAAAGGTTAGGATTATTTAAGTTAAAATGTTAGTGTATGTGTGTGTGATATATATTTCTATCTAGTTTCGGTTGCCATTTGTTGGGCAAACATTAAGATTGTTTAAGTTAGAATGTTAATATATATATATATATATATATATTTTTTGGGTTGCCATTTATTTCAAACTCTATATTGGGTTGTCGTATGTTGGAGAAATGTTAGGATTATTTAAGTTAAAATGTTAGTGTATGTGTGTGTGATATATATTTCTATCTAGTTTGGGTTGCCATTTATTGGGCAAACGTTAGGATTGTTTAAGTTATGTTAGGATCAAGCGCTTACCCACTACACCAAAAGCAATTGCCTTGGTGAAGGCGCAACCTTATTTCCCTTATAGCGTAGCAGCCAATGCCACATTTCGATTTAGGAAGATGCTGGAACCGTGACCAACAATCCCCCCCCCAGCATCTGCCGGTAATAATAAGAGCTTCGTTAGAAGTCAATGGCCGCGCAGCATGCCTTTCTCATAATTATGCACTCCTTGCATATTATGCACACCATGGGATTCGAACCCGTGACCTGCTCTGATACCAATTGTTAGGATCAAGCGCTTACCCACTACACCAAAAACAATTGCCTTGGTGAAGGCGCAACCTTATTTCCCTTATAGCGTAGCAGCCAGCGCCACGTTTCGATTTAGGAAGATGCTGGAACCGTGACCAACAAGTTAGAATGTTAATATATATATATATATATATATATATATATATACTACATATATAACCATTTAGGTCATTATCTTAATTACAACCCTTGAAGCATAGATTACAACCATTTTATGCTAGAAATTCAAAAAACTCTTAATTACAAGTCACAAAGCACAATGTACAACCATTTTATACATAAAGTTCAAAAAACTATGACAGTACAACCACCAACACCACCAAAGTTGAAACTTTCAGTTTCACTTTTTTAGTTGAAGCTTTTTTCATCCTCTCTTTACAGCTTTCTTCCACCCATTTAGTAACTTCAAACCATTCTTTCTTGCTTCTTGTTTCTTCCTTCCCTATTTACAGCTCTCATCTGAAAAATTCAGGTTTTAGCTTTTCTTTATTGTGAACAACACATCACTGAGAGGTCTGTATTTGGTGCCATGTTCAAGAAATCAGTAGAAACAAAAAATACCTTCATAAAACCGTGTGGCATCGATCCCCTGTTTCTCTCAATCACATTTGCATAGTAAGCTTCTTCACCGTGATTACCCAACCCTCCAAACCCTTCCCGGCAGCCGCTCTCCATCTCCGACAACTCCCTTTTCATGGCGACTCCCCCACCCTCTTCTATTTTCCGGCTACTCCTCTTTCTTTCATACAAATCCACAACCCTTATTTCTCTTCCCTTCTATGTAACCCTCACCCCCACCCCTTCATCTTCATGTGATACACTCGCAAACATCACCAAACCTTCATGAACTATCATCAGCAACACCCATATGCCCTCATCTCTCTCCTCTTCAACCCCCTACTCGGTTCTACCCCATCAATGGTTGTTGCCATGATGAAAGTGGTTGTAAAAATGAGAACACCGATTCCATTCCAAAAAACCCAGCTTCAGGATCTTTCATAAACCAAAGTACCAATCTTTTTAGAAAAAGATTCAGTTTTTTCAAAAACCCAAGAAAAAATATAGAAAGAGAGAGAAGGAAAGAGAAAGAGTGTCTTGATGTTAATGGTACTACTTCTAAAGGCTAAAAAGATACTCCTATATATATATATATATATATATATAATTTAAGCTATTTTCTGTGTATTTTTTAAATTTCATCCTGAATTTCAAATATTTATTATTTTAATCATTATAATAATCTAATGGTCTCACTTTTAATGCTTTTTTGTGACTATTTTAATTAAAGTTTATTTTTTCTTAGTTATAATTATTATTTAACAGCGAGCGGGAGGAAGAGTATGCTGAAACTAGCTCAACGAGTGATGGATAATTTCTGTGCTGGTGTTTCTGCGTCCACCGTGTATAAATGGAACAAACTTTGTGTGAATAATGTTGACGAAGATGTTGGAGTGATGACAAGGCAAAGCGTCGATGACCCCGGTGAGCCACCCGGGATCGTTTCAAGTGCGGCTACTTCAGTTTGGTTGCCGATGTCACCTCAACGACTGTTCAATTTCCTTCGTGAAGAACGGTTGCGAAGCGAATGGGACATTTTGTCCAACGAAGGACCAATGCAAAAAATGGCCATATCGCCAAGGGCCAAGATCACGGCAACTGCGTCTCCCTCCTTCGTGCTAGCGTAAGCTTTCTATGTATCTCTCAATACGTTTACATCCGTGTTATTCTTATTGTCGGCTTTTCTTAAAAAATGCAAACATAAAACGTTTTGGGAAGACGAAATTTGTGTACATGTATGTATTTTTGTTTGTTATTTATTTATTTATTGATTGTGCGTAGTTGATATTGGCATAATGAGGGGAATAGGGAAATATTACCAAAAAGGACAGGGGCAGAAGTGTAATTTCGCATGTGTAAGGAAAGAGTAGGGACTATTTCAGAACGTACAGACTGTGTGCATGTCACAATCACCATTTTTTTTCTTTATAGATATTTTTTCTTTTTCTTTTTCTTTTTGATATCATGGCTAATCTTAATTTGTAGATTATTTTTCTTCTCAAATAAATCTAAACTTATTTTTTTATTTCTAAATATTTAGTAATAAAATTCCAATTGGTAAAAAGATATATTATGTTGTTAATGTTGAAAACTTTGTGAATATAAATACACTGAAAATTTTGAAAATGGTAATTGACTGGTTTGTATTTTTATTTTTAAAATATATAAAAAGGGTAAAAAAGAGTTACATATACATGAGATTTCTAACACCACTTTTTTTGGATTTAAAACTTCATAGTAAAGTGTTGTGAGGGTTCGGTCTCGTTTTCGATCAATTGCTCTAGAACTCTCGGTCTCGCTCTCGATCTCTTGATTATTTGTTCTTGGTGTAAATCGAACACATTTATGGAGTCGTTTAAATATGTTGGATTTTAAATATATTGGATTTTAAATTGTCATACAATTTTTTTCATCGATAGATTGTAATTAGAATCATAACTTTTATTTATTCAAATTGTATTAATATTTAAAGACCAATTGTAACTTATATCATCGTTAAATCTTCTCTAATAAAACCAATGAAACTTCAAAATGGTTAAAATTCACGGCTCCCGCTGCATTGCGCGGGTATACAACTAGTATATATATATGTATATATATATATTTATATATAGAGAGAGAGTTTTGGTTGCCATTTGTTGGACATATGTTAGGATTATTTTAGTTTGAAACGTTTCATTTACAGTCGTTATGTTGTTGAAATTGACTAGTAGTATTTTTTTAAACCGCAGGGTACCTATTCAAACAATCTCACCGAAAAGTACGGTGAGGATCCCTCGGCCCATCTCCTAGTTGATACTGACTTGTGGAATGAGGCGGTTAGGGGATCCAGGAAAGGCCGTCTATTTGGGTTCGGGTACAGTGAAGATCCCAATTTGGTCTTGACCGGGATAGCCTCACAAGCAAACTCGAGTGGATCGCCTAATGTAGATAGTGAGGTGTGTACATCTTAAACCTTTGATGTTTATTTATTTCATT